CAGAAAATAACAATTGAACTGTTTCTGTTTATGATGAGAAGCTTTATTTTTGTAAAAATGCTCAATTGCTCAAACAACACTTACTACGATTATCAGTTGAGTAAGGCACGAGAGAAGTTTGGTTACGAGGTTTTGGCCTTAAAATTATGGTGTTGTCACGAGCAACTTACCTCGTTTCCGTTGGTAACAATATCAAAAGCCGTTGGTCGCCTGTCGCGTCGCCTACAATTTCGCGCGCTTTGCTGCCAATGACGTCAAAGGCCGATAAGTTGTCAATGGATACGGAGCCAGTTGCTCGTGACAACAGCACCATTTTTACGTTAAAATTGGTGACCAAACTTTCGTCCCGCCTTACTCAACTGATAATCGTAGTACATGCAGTGTAGTAACGCTTGTTCTCTGGTCATCTCAGCGAAGTGAACCGACGAGCGGTCAGTTCAAAGCTTGCTCTGATAGTCTCTTCTGTGCTTGGAGCACGACCAGTGGGAGCAGTTTAGCGGTCTGTCTAACTTTTACGTTAGTTCGGGCAATCTTGCTGCAAGTGGCTGCAAGCCGTAAATAACTATAGCTCCTTTCAAATTCAACCTCAGCATTTCGCATTTTCATCCACAAGCTTTAGGCTCCTTGTTTCGAAACTTCCATTGGAAAAGTGCACGTTTTCACAAGCCACAATATGGCCGAATTCCTCTGTACTACAAACCTTTACCTGCCTTTAGATCCTTATTTAAAAATTAACTAAAAAGCGAACTTTGAAGGCATTGTTCTTCTCTCGAAAACGGCTCAAAACTACTCGAAACTGAAAGCTTAGCTGAGGTCCTGTTTGTGATTGACAGCTTTCTCTTCGTTAGCCAATCAAATTATTTGAACAATTCTAACAAGGATTGTGATTGGCTTATTTTAGCGTGCTTTATCTGAGAACAGAGTACGGCTGACGCCACTTTCACTCGTTTGGAAAATGACGTTTGGTTTGAAAATTCAGCCGAATGCGTGGAGAAATTATCGAATTCTTTATCATAAAACAAATAAAGAAGCCTCGACTGTGCTCTGTTCTGTTGTAAAGCACTTAGGAAGCGGTAGAGCACTCAAGAAGTAGGCAAAAACACTAGACTTTGTCAGTCGTGTTTTCCCCTACACTTCTTTCGTGCTGTACCACTTCCTAAGTGCTTTACAACAGAACAGAGCACAGGCGAGGCTTCTTTATTTGTTTTATGACAAAGAATCTAATAATTTATTGTTTATGTTATTTGTTAACAGGGACTCTGGTCAATGCTTAACCTACAGTACAAACTATTTTCAACGACTGACTCTGGAAATTAAGCTGGTATACTAACTTAGAACAAACCCCTCTTAATAGATGTCAACAACCACCAGCGCCTTACAAACGACTTTTCCACGACGTAAACGAAACCGACAAATTGGACTTCTACTAGATCGACTTAATTTGACCATCAATAGACAAACCTCAAACTGACCAATTTGACTAACAATAGACGGATCGAAACCGACCAATGACTGATGACAGACTTTACAGGAGTCTTTCAGCCAATACCATCATGGCTAAACTGACCAATCACATTCAACAGACCAGACTTATAACATCATCGACTAACGAGCCAACACTATTCACTGGACTCTGAAGGTGACTTCCGCTCATTGTCGAAACGTCAGTCACCAACAACAGTTCTTTTCAGAACTACCCTCACCAGGACGATCACACTATACGAACTCATGCTACAATCATGGCATTAAAAAGGTCACAAATTGGCAGACAAGTTATGACCATTTCCTTAGCATTGCAAGTTACCATGCCAACGATATAACTTGTTACTTCTGTGAACCACACGTTTTATTATCGATTTATAATCAGCATGTCAGGATTTGACTCTTCAGGAAATTAAAAAAAAAAAAGTGGGAGCGGCTTCAGAGCTACAACAAATTGTAGAAAACATAAATTGATCTGAACTCCCTCCGTTTAATTTTTTGGCCAAACTTGTATTTCAATTAGCAACCTTAATACAATTTCGGTTGTAATAAATAAAATGGGGTCGTCGGACTTGCTGTTTTAGTTACAAGCATTTATTTTTATTAAAGCCGATATAACGGGTGCCCTTAACAGGTTACACTGTTGCTAACCTTTCGCATGATGGAAGTGACCATATCTTTTTTTCAAAATGACTGGGCTTCAAGATTTTTACAGCAGAATAGACCTTTTTAGCTTGGGCGGTTTGATTTCCCATTCAGACAAACCACGTGATATCCTCTTGAGAATTGTTCTTATTTTCCATCTAAAAATCATCTATTCATATACACGAGACTATTCGGCAGTTTGAAAGCAAGAATTCTCAAGGGCATAGTCTAAGCGGGGCAACAAACCGCCCAAGCTAAAAAGGACTTAATTACGGCATCGATCGGTTGAAAAAGTGTGGTAGCATTGATTCATCAAGTGCTAGAAAATGCTTGAAACTACTGACCCACCCTATTTTAAATGGACCTTTTCGGCGAAACGGCGGCTAATTTGAGTTCTATTGTTTCAAATAGCTATTCTGGGATGCCCAGGGGGAAATATGTATCTTCCTCCGAGCATCCTATAATACCTATTTGAAACAATAGAAATCAAAATTGCCGCCTTTTGAGTTTTACCTTCTTTTTAACTACCAACGAAGAGTTCAATTTTGATACAGATCGTAATTTCTTTGAAAAAATAGAACTTAGGTTAGTCCTGCTCAACGGATCCACAGATTTAACGAGTAGGATTGGGATACAGAATAGCCAAAGTCATATGCATTTGCAACACGAAACTTTGCTGCGTCTTCTTCCGTTATCCCAATTCCGTGATCAGCACGTGCACAAGAATTTCCTCCTCCACCAATCATCATCACTGATCCATCACCAGAATCCCAATCACACCAGAAGCCGATGTTGTTGGCGCTTTGGATGTTTCCACTGCACTCAGCCTGTTGAAACCCGTCTGTTGACTTGTACTGACCGCCATATTGAACCGTACAGCTTCCCTGGCACCGGTCACTGGCCCAAACTTTGCCGTTTCTAAAGTCGCCATAATTTGTGATTTTTGATCGGAATGTTTGTCCAGCCAAACAGTTACCTGTGGTCTGTAACAAAGGAGTATGACTGGGGTCATCACTGCGCGTGATCTTAACTTCTCTGCCGCTGACCAACCAAAAGGCTGGTGAGATCATGTCAGAGTTAATAGAAGGATCTGTTGTTGTTCCCACGGAGACTTGTTGGTCATACCACCAGCTGCCGTCGTTGCGCATCCAGTTTTTATTGTCACTGTTTGAGAATCGAGCGATTAAAGTCCAGCCTTTACGATCAGCTTTAATATCACAGTACACCTGAAGTATTACAAGAAGTAATCATTTAGTAATAACGTGGACTTTGGGGACTATCATGCAATGAGAAAGATTCTATTTTACTTTACATTTGATTGATGGGGAAGTAAAATTCTTAATTGAGTATGTAATCCCAGCCTGTAAGCTTGGCTTCACTTATAACTTACGCTAGTTACTTAGCACATTTCACTCAAATGAAGGATACCCCGAAATAAAGTAGGTCATTTTCGAGAGGTAGGTGTCCAGTTCAAAACGATAAACTTTCTAAGTCCTCCAAAACGCCCAAAGAAGAAAATTTTCGTTTTTAACAAGTTCTGGACTTCTAAAACACTCACCGTATATCGGATGGAGGTTGCTGTTAGCTCGAAGCTTCCAGACGTTTTTGCAGAGTGCTTTGTAATTACCTCTTCACAGGAAATAACTAGTGATGAGAAATATGGTTATTTGTAGAGGGGATATTACATGGCGGCACGAAAATATAAATTTTATTTTGGAGTGCTAAGAATATTCTTTTGATCCCAGGAAATATAATTCATATCCTTAGGCCACCGTGCAACTTTAGTCTTATTTCATAGATTTATTATACAATAATGAAATACCAGCTTAGTCAGTCAGTCCGCCAATCCAGTCAGTCATTCAGTTAGCAAATCAGCCAGTCAGTCAGTCGATCAGTTATTCATTCATTCATTCATTCATTCATTAAAATTCATTTGTTCATTCACTCTTTCATTGATTGATCTTCGTTTATTTGTCATTTGTTTATTCATTCATTGATCTTTTTTTCATATATTTACTTATTCGTTGCGCCTTTCACAACACACAAAATGTGACCAGTGGTCTTAAGCTTGACGACTGCCGAACTGTCGTGGTAATTATTATTATTGACGGAATTTAAAAAAGCAATGTCGCTCAATTGGCTACTTTTAGGGTCTCAGGTATGTTTCTCAACGCCACAATCAATGCTTGAGAGCAATAAAAGCTATCTTTTACCTGGTTTCCTTTGAATTCCCAACGTAGTGGAAGCCCTATTTTTGCCAACTTTGTTCTCAGCTGTACACACGTACGAGCCAGTGTCATGAACTGAAAAATCTCGAATGCGCAATGTTCCGTTAATAACGGAACTCCTTGCTTTGGGTAAACCAGTCAAGGCACGTGTCCACGTAATGACAGAGGGAGGGTAACTGAACGCTTCGCAAGAAATTGTTGCAATTGCTCCTTCTTTGATGATCAAAAACTGCTGAGGAACTTTAGTGAGCT